TGGGTAATAATCATATCATCTTTTCTACACTATGTATATATATTCAAATAGACTTAATATCAAAGCATTAAATCCAGAAGTATTAAAAAATACACTTATTCAAGCATATTTTTAAATTACTCATTTCACGTTACAAGCATGTGCATGATGACCATACCTTCTTGTAGGGGTCCATTATGTCTATCAATATTCTAAATACCATCCTATTTCGTTGAAAACCAAGGGAGTTATAACCATTTAAAGTTTAAGCCAATCAGATTTCAGCGCACGTGCATGCGTTTGATTTAATGACAATTGTTATATATCATATTGTAGGACATCCTATTGTATGCTTATGTTTTAAATTTCGTAGCATTTCGTCAAAGAACGGAAAAGATATTGAGATTTTTGTTTCAGCCAATCAGAGTGAAGAACACGTGCACGCACGTGCATGACGACCATACCATCTTGTTGGAGTCTATTATGACTGTCTATGTTCTAAATCCCATCCTGTTTGGTTGAAAAACAAGGGAGTAATAGCCATTTAAAGTTTAAGCCAATCAGATTGCAGCGCACGTGCATGCGCATGTTTTCACGACAACTGTTATATATCATATTGTAGGACATCCTAATGCATGACTATGTGTAAAATTTCAAAGCATTTCGTCAAAAATTAAAAAAGATATTGCGATTTTTGTTTCAGCCAATCACAGCAAAGCACAAGTGCACGCATGTGCATGCATGTGCATGACGACTTCACCGCCTTGTAGGAGTCCATTATGTCTGTCTATGTTCTAAATCCCATCCTGTTTGGTTGAAAAACAAGGGAGTAATAGCCATTTAAAGTTTAAGCCAATCAGATTGCAGCGCACGTGCATGCGCATGTTTTCACGACAACTGTTATATATCATATTGTAGGACATCCTAATGCATGACTATGTGTAAAATTTCAAAGCATTTCGTCAAAAATTAAAAAAGATATTGCGATTTTTGTTTCAGCCAATCACAGCAAAGCACAAGTGCACGCATGTGCATGCATGTGCATGACGACTTCACCGCCTTGTAGGAGTCCATTATGTCTGTCTATGTTCTAAATCCCATACTGTTTGGTTGAAAAACAAAGGAGTTATAGCCATTTAAAGTTTAAGCCAATCAGATTGCAGTGCAAGTGCATGCGCGTGCTTACATGACAATTGTTATATATCATATTGTAGTACATCCTAAAGTATGCCTATGTTTTAAATTTCATAGCATTTCGTCAAAAAACAGAAAAGATATTGAGCTTTTTGTTTCAGCCAATCAGAGCGAAGCGCACGTGCATGCGCGTGAGTTCGTGCTAATTTGACAGTGTCACATTATCTACAGTATTAATATATCTTTATATAATGAGTTTCAAATCATTTCATCAAAAAATGTAAATGTAATAGCTATATTAAGTATATCAGTCAATTCACTCATTTCACGCGCACGCACGTGCATGCGTATGCGCGCAAAATAACCTTCGTGTTGCACACCTACACTACACACCTATTAACCCTAAAAAGGTTTTAGCTCAATTGGGTGAACAGTTTCTGAGAACACTCGCGGACAAAAAAGTACCGGAGAACAAAGAAGAAAAAAAAGAATAATAATAATAATAACTAGGGCTAATTGTAACGGGGACCGTTACAGATGTTCCCCAAACGCTCCCCAACTCCCTTTTGGTGCCGTATTCCCTGTAAGCGCTATTAAGTAAGACACACTTTATGCAATTTAGACTTAAACAACGTTTTCCCATAAGAATGCAAAATGTATTTAAATTTTAGCATTGCACGCGTGCTCATCTGAATGCATGTGCGTAATGACCACATCATCTTTTCTACACTATATATATTTTTTAATATACTTAATAACAAATCAATTAATCCAGAAGTATTAGAAAATACACTCATTTAAGCGTATTTTAATATTACTCATTTCACATGCACGCACGTGCATGCACGCACGTGCATGCACGTGCATGAGGACTATACCTTCTTGTAGGAGTCTATTATGTCTGTCTATGTTCTAAATCCCATCCTGTTTGGTTGAAAAACAAGGGAGTTACAGCCATTTACAGTTTTAGCCAATAAGATTGCAGCACACGTGCATGCGCGTGTTTTCACGACAATTGTTATATATCATATTGTAGTACATCCTAAAGTATGTATATATTTTAGATTTCATAGCATTTCGTCAAAAAACAAAAAAGATATTGAGATTTTTGTTTCAGCCAATCAGAACGAAGCGCACGTGCACATACGTGCATGATGACCATACCTTCTTGTAGGAGTCTATTATATCTGTCTATGTTCTAAATCCCATCCTGTTTGGTTGAAAAATAAGGGAGTTATAGCCATTTCAAGTTTAAGCCAATCAGATTGCAGCGCACATGCATGCGCGTGTTTTCATGACAATTTTTATATATAATTTTGTAGAACATCCTAAAGTATGCCTATATTTTAAATTTCATATTATTTCGCCATAAAACAGAAAAGATATTGAGATTTTTGTTTCAGCCAATCAGAGCGAAGCACACGTGCATGCGCGTGAGTTCGTGCTAATTTGACAGTGTCTTATTATCTACACTATTAATATATCTTTATATGATGAGTTTCAAATCATTTAATTAAAAAATGTAAAAGTTATAGCGATATTAAGTATATCGGTCAGTTCACTCATTTCACGCGCACGCACGTGCATGCGTATGCGCGCAAAATGACCTTCGTTCCGCACACCTACACTACACACCTATTAACCCTAAAAAGGTTTTAGCTTAGTTGGGTGAACAGTTTCTGAGAACACTCGCGGACAAAAAAGTACCGGAGAACAAAGAAGAAAAAAAAGAATAATAATAATAATAATAATAATAATAATAATAATAATAAGAAACCGAGTAAAAACAATATGTTCCCAAACTCCGTTTGGGGAACATAATAAGAAACCGAGTAAAAACAATATGTTCCCAAACTCCGTTTGGGGAACATAATTAAATAGAATCATCTTGAATTAGATTTCACTATATATAATTTTAAACATTATTATAAAAATCATATTCACAAAAGTGAAATTAAACAAAGGTTACTGAAACTAAAACAATTTTTTTGTATTACATTACACTGATAAATTAAAACACGCTAGCGATATAGTTGGAGCCGATCAAAGATCTAATTTTAATTAGATTGATAAAAAGCACTTAGTGATATTAAATGGAAATCAAAATTATGAAATAATAACTGTCATAAACAAGAGGTCCAGGGGCTACATCGCTAACCTCAGCACATCAGCTAGGAAAAAGCACAGATTAGATTATATCTGAAAAGTTTAGTTGGGGGGGGGGGGGGGGGGGTCCTACCCTCCCTACACCAAAGGGCCATGATTTGAACAAATTTAAATCTCCAATACATGAGGATGCTTACATGTCAATATGACTAAACATAGCTTTTCTGTTCTTGGGATTTTTCCTTTATTTTCCTATGTAAAACTTTGATTGACCTTTGTGGCCCTACCCTATCCCTAGGGGTTATGATTGAACAAACTTGAATCTACACTACCTGAGGATGATTCCGTATAAATATTACTAATCATGGCTTTGAAGTACTTGAGAAGAAGATTTAAAAAGGTTTCCTTATATATTCCTTTGTACAACTTTCATCGGCCATTATGGCCCCGCCCTTCCCCCGGGGGTCATGATTTGAACAAATTTGAATCTACACTACCTGAGGATGATTCCACACGAGTTTCATCTTTCCTGGTCCAGTGGTTCTTGAGAAAAAGATTTTTAAAAAATGTCATTAAATTTTCACTAATTCATAATTATCTCCCCTTGTAAGACGGCGTGGCCCTTCATTTGAACAAACTGGAATCCCCTTTACTCAAGAATACTTTGAAGCAAGTTTGGCTGAAATTGGCTCAGTGGTTCTTGAGAAGAACATGAAAATGTGAAATGTTTACGACGACAACGACGACGACAACAACGACAACGACAACAACGACAGACAACGGACAAATTTTGATCAGAAAAGCTCATTTGAGCCTTCGGCTCATGTGAGCTAACAAAGTCAAAGCATATTGGAGGCAGAGCAAAAATAAACCTTAAAGATATAAGAGGTGGGATCAGGTAACATGGAGGAGTAAGCTCCCCCTGTTCACCGGTCACACCTCCAGTGCTCTTGTCATGATCAGAGAAAGGGGAAAATCTGTAGGGAATTCAGTGTGAAAATAATGGCCTTATAAAATGTATGAAAACCATCAGTCAATATTTACATTTACCGACAGATTATACTTTAGCTGACAATATCAACTTACGAAATGTTGATCTTGTCTCATCGACTTATTTGTCAGAAGCTTAACTCGTTTTTACAATTGTTCGACTTTGGTTGTCCAAAGTGTTGAAAATTCGTACGTTTTGATGATATATTGCCTTAAAATAAGATATTGGGATTTCAAATTTTTAAGAGTTCCTTAGGGTGTTTAAATATCACTTTTTTCGGATTTTTGTTGTTCAATGGCCTTGAAATTTCTCGTCCACTGTTAATATATTGGTTCTTTAAAAACGAATGTCAGTTTTAAATAATTTTAATATTCTTTACAATCATAATGAATTTGAATTACCGTACCTATATACTGAATTCCAAAGCTATATAAAATTCCTTACAAACAAAGAAATGCGTAGCGGGTTCTAGTAATTGAAACATTCTACCAGACTCTTGAAAGTTGGAATAAACAACTTAAAAAATACATGGCACTAACACGCCGGGTCGGGTTCAGTGCCTTAAAAAAACTTCATGTACATGTATGTAGAAAGAAGAAGAAAAAAAAATCTTATCTATGGGCGAAAAGTTATATATCATATCCCACTCCGGTCTTACCAACCTTTTTCATAATTTTGTTTATACAAATAAAATAAAAAAATCTATTAGATAAGTGATTTAAAAGGGATGTATTGATTTTTATTAATTGATAAATTGCTACTTCTGCTATATCTAAATCTTACATTTTACTTATTTGTAAGTGTTTGTATAAATCACGGTAGAAAATATACAAAAAGTAAAACTCTCTTGGACAGTCAAGAAAATTATCATGAGCTTATCTATAGCAGATGATAATATTGTCCAATCGATTTCGCCCACGTCTGCTCTTTCGATAATTTTTTCTGAAGATTCTTTTTTCAAACGTTTTATAAACCAAATTTCACGCTTTGACAATTTAATGTGTTGATCTCGGTGACAGATTTTCACTTGTAAGCTCGAAATTAGAACAATCAGTACCGCTAATGCAAGTTCTATCTCCATGTAAACACAAGTGAGAGAAATCGAATCTGAATTTTCTGGTAATGAAGAAGTTATCGAGTTAAGAAACACACCATATGCAAGAAAAAGAGTTATTGCAAAAGAAACTTTTTCTCCGCTTTCTGCTGGAATTAAAAATGCAAAAATCTTCATAATTCCTAAGAAGAGCAGTGGAGTTATCAAATTCCATACATAGAATATGTATTTTCTCCGTAAATTGAAAGAAAATATGAGGTTGAAAAACATTTCTGATCCATCTAATTCCACGGAAGTCATGTTGGAAAATATTTTCCATATCCCGTTTTCATAATAATCAAATACTCAGTAACCCCAAATAAGATCGACTTCCAATCTTTACCATGTTTCTGTCGTGGTTCCAAACGGTGAAAATCATCTCACAAGTTTGAGCGTCGAAAGGAAAATATACAACATCGACTTCACAACGTGCCTCAAAAACTTGATAAGGCCACCACGTTACTTGCCCAGTGTAATTTAATACAATATAGTAAAAATCTCCTCCCATTGGTTTAATTTCCTTCACACCATTTCGAAGAATCAAATCAGGTATCCAAATATTACTCTGAGGTAAGGTGAAATTGGTTATATTTCCGAACACTTCAGGTTGCCAGCTCAAGAAATGATCCTTCCATGTAACTTCCAGGAATACCGTAGTAGAAAACACCCCAGACTTCTCATCGATGAAATTAACCCTCGAGATAATCATTGAAATGTCTAAAACAACTGATTCGGACACATCTTGTACTGGTCTTATCCTCTTGTCATATTTTCTTGTTTCAAATAGCTCTTGTAGAATATTTCGTAAATATTCTGTTTGTTGGCAGTCAGATTCTATAATATTTAAAAGACAGAAAAGAATCATCGCACAAGTCGTGTTTTTAACAGTAACCATGACCAGTGTTTGTAACTTACATGTAACTAGACTTTCATGTAGCAATCTGACTCAACACATTTCAATATATGCACACGTAAAAACGCTAAATTTTCCCCAAATTTAATCGATAAAAAAAATAAAGTTAATCATAATGACAATTATGAGAATATAATTAAGCCTGGTTCGATAAAAGCAACCCAATTTAAAGGCCTTGATGGGTTTCGTCTCAATTTACAATGCAAATAACACAGATCAAAAAACTACAGAAGAGACAAAAGGTTTAAAATTTGTAGGTTAACTTAAGTACCCAGTCGTTGATATCTAACTTGATTTTGTTAATGTAACATGAGAAATCAGATCTAGTACTTGCAAATACAAAGGAACATCATATGGCACACCAAATTCACAAAAATGAGCAAAACATAGTTTCACAGTCGATAAACTAGGTTTATCGGTTTTAAACTATAGTTTACGGACTGTAAACTATAGTTAACAAAGTTAATCTATATTTTACATCTGTAAACTATAGTTAACGCGATAATCTATATTTCACAACCGTAAACTATACTTAACACCAAAAACAATCATTTGCGATTGCAAACATAGATTATCTGATAAATAAAGTTTCACGATAGTAAACTATGGTTTACAACTCTTAACTATAGTTAACGATCGTAAATTATAGTTTACAGACGTGAATCTATGTTTATCAACAAAATCTATAATTGTTAACGTTTTATTACAGAATACAGACAGATAAACTTAGATTAGCATTCGTAAACTATAGTTAACAACCGTTAAATATAGTTTTACAGATGAAAACTATACTTAACGAATTGTAAACTATACTTCACGATTTGTAAACTATAGTTTACAGTCGATAAACCTAGTTTATCAATTGTGAAACTAGTTTTTAGCACGCGAAATTCACAAAAATGAGCTAATCATAGTTTCACAGTCGATAAACTAGGTTTATCGGTTGTAAACTATAGTTTACGGACTGATAACTATATATAGTTAACAACGTTAATCTATATTGTACATTTGTAAACCATAGTTAACGCGATAATCTATGTTTCACAACCATAAATTATACTTAACACCAAAAACAATCATTTGCGATCGCAAAACATAGATTATCTGATAAATACAGTTTCACGCTTAACTATAGATAACGATCGTAAATTATAGTTTACAGACGTGAATCTATGTTTATCAACAAAATCTATTGTTAACGTTTTATTAGAGACAAATAAACTTTGATTAGCATTCGTAAACCATAGTTAACAACTGTTAAATATAGTTTTACAAATGAAAACTATACTTAACGAACCGTTAACTATAGGTTACGGTTTGTAAACTATAGTTTACAGTCGATAAACCTAGTTTATCAATTGTGAAACTAGGTTTGGCTCATTTTTGTGAATCTGGCATGCCATATATGGCACGCCAGATTCACAAAAATGAGCTAATCATAGTTTCACAATTGATAAACTAGGTTTATCTGTTGTAAACTATAGTTTATGGACTGTAAACTATAGTTAACAACGTTAATCTATATTTTACGTCTGTAAACCATAGTTAACGCGATAATCTACATTTCACAACCGTAAACTATACTTAACAACGAAAACAATCATTTGCTATGGCACGCCAAATTCACAAAAATGAGATAAATCTAGTTACAGTCCGTAAACTATAGTTTACAACCGATAAACCTAGTTTACCGATTGTGAAACTATGATTTGCTCATTTTTGTGAATTTGCAAAACATAGATTATCTGATAAATACAGTTTCACGATTTGTAAACTATGGTTTACAACTCTTAACCATAGTTAACTGTTAACTGATAAATATAGTTTCACGATTGTGAAACTATGATTAACAACTCTTAACTATAGTTTACGATTGTAAATTATAGTTTACAAACGTGAATCTATGTTTATCAACAAAATCTATTGTTAACGCTTTATTACAGACAAATAAACTTAGATTAGCATTCGTAAACTACAGTTAACAATCGTTAAATATAGTTTTACAATTGAAAACTATTGTTAACGAATTGTTAACTATAGTTTATATATGTATGGCATGCCAAATTCACAAAAATGAGATAAACCTAGTTTCACATTTGATAAACTAGGTTTATCGACTGTAAACTATAGTTTACAAACCGTAAACTATAGTTAACGATTCGTTAAGTATAGTTTTCATCTGTAAAACTATATTTGATGGTTGTTAACTATAGTTTATGAATGATTATCTAAGTTTATCTGTCTGTAATAAGCGTTAACAATAGATTTTGTTGATAAACATAGATTCACGTTTGTAAACTATAGTTTACAATCGTAAACTATAGTTAAGAGTTGTTAATCATAGTTTCACAAATCGTGAAACTATATTTATCAGATCGCTAACTATAGTTAACAGTTTGTAAACTATAGTTTACAAATCGTGAAACTGTATTTATCAGATAATCTATGTTTTGCAATCGCAAATGATTGTTTTCAGTGTTAAGTATAGTTTACGGTTGTGAAACATAGATTATCGCGTTAACTATGGATTACGGATGTAAAATATAGATTAACGTTGTTAACTATAGTTTACAGTCCGTAAACTATAGTTTACAACCGATAAACCTGGTTTATCGACTGTGAAACTATGTTTAGCTCATTTTTGTGAATTTGGCGCGCCATACATATGTATCAGTAACCCGGAGATATACATCTGATCAGTCGCACAGATATCAAGTATTTTCATAAATAAAGTTTTAACGTAAAACTTGCTTAAATTGCAATTGTTTTTGAATACAGAATAATGAAGCTATCGCAGTTCTGAATTAGAATTTCCATTACTACTCTTGTCATGTCTCATCACTCATCATTAAAATAAAGGCCACGTTTAGCATATAAATCGTACTTTTTATCCAATTAATGATCGTAGATTATTTGAGAAAAGGGGGAGGGGCTGACTGAAAATATGACCATTAATAAATACTCTGCACACAAACAAAACATTTGTTTAATGTAGTACAGATGAAAAGGTTGAAGATTCGATCTAAAAAAAATTCTTTGAATACTAGTAATAGAAATTTGTGAAAAGAGCATAAACTCAGATCCCTGAAAATTCCAGGCCTGGGGTCGGGTGTATACGACGAGTAAGTATCCCCTATGGACCGTCACACCCGCCATGAGCCCTATGCGTTGATCAGGAAGACAGAACATTCCATAGTCAATTCAGTATTAAAAAACTAACAATTGGTTTGAAACATGTCAGCCAAAATGCGACCCAAAGATGGATTATATTTGCTAATAAGGTCGAAATAGAATTTACAAAAAATGCTGACTTTAAACGAAGTTGTTGAAATCTCTTACAAGTAACATCACCTTATTTGTCAGTAATCTGTCTCGGTAAAAAACCGATTATACTCAGAGCATGCTCTTGAGTATCGAGCTGGGAGATGCAAATACCATGTGCAGTTAATAGCAAGATATTACAACATAAATAAGAAAAGCTGACAATGGAAAAATGGAAACCATCTCGTTTGTCAAAATGTTTAGTTGCTAGTTGGTCCTTATCATCTACAGTCAGTAAAACCTCCAAATTTATATCTAACAGACTTTGTGGTGTTTTTAATTTCAAGTTCACTGGATGTATCGAATCGACGTATGAATGAAAGTAACTATTTTTAATTGATAATACATCGATTATCTATATGTTGAGTTAAAGCCAGAGCAAGTGTTTTCTTTTTTCAGATAAAACTCCCTGCCTACCAGAAGACTGCACGTTAGTGATATCACATGGTACAAATACGTCAGAGGCACAGATGTCCAGTGTTTTCATTACAGTAATTTTTTCCCCTAAACTTTACTTTGATTAACGAGAAAGTGTCCAAAAGCCAAGGTGTATAGGGGTGATGCAAACGAAAAGTATCCCCCAACAGTGCAGTTTTATCTCCTTTTCTTTGTCAAACTCTGCTAAGTTTCTCTCTTATAAATCTACGGTAGTTTATGTATGAAAATTCGGGAGAATGCTTTCATGAACTTAATAAAACCCTCTTCTTTAGACGAAATTAAAGATGACTCAAATTTTGTACGATCTGGAACAATAGTTTTGTTCTGCCGCACTTGTTTTCCTGTTGATCTTAAAACCTGTGTTAATGCCCTAAATCAATTTTTAAATAGCACACTTACTAATAACTGAATTATGTATCAGAATCTAGCATAACAATAACAATAAAATGCTTCAATAATTGCCATATTCAATTGGCAACTCTGGAGCCATTTTTCATCAATCAAATAACATACAGCAATTGCTTGATAAAATTTTATTGCACATTTAATTATAAGTTATAATCTCCTACTTGTAATTAAAAAGAAAAATCTGAAGATGTACACATAAATCAACTAAAATACATGTACAACAGGCTTTTTCACAAATATGCCTTTAAACATGATTTACAGCAAACAGATTCAAATACATGTATTAAACAAATATACAAAAAATCTCTTTGTATTGAGGCAGTTAAGTTGCATGTGTATTTATTTTAGAATAATTTACTAAGGTATGTGTTTTAAATTCATTAGACATTTCAGTATTTATAGTACACTAACTGAAACAGCATGCAGTTCCTATTGTGTATTCTACCACAATGTGACTAGATTTTGTGTGTGTTATATATAGAGTTGAATGTTGTACAGTAGATTTCAATGGATCCAGGATTTCAAGAGGATAATTTACATTTAATGTATTAAAAAAATAAATATATCCTCTGATCAATTTTTAATTTGAAAACGTAAAAAAATTATATATTTTCATATTTTATTTCAATTTCAAAATTATTACAAATTGATATTAAACAAAAATGTTCCATGCAAGATGCAAAGGGACACAAGTTGACAACACTTCTGAAGAAGATGTTGAAAATCTGTAACATTTACATAATACACAATGAGACCTGAAAATCTTTTATCAGAAATAAACTCACTTGAGCCTTTAGCTTAGGCGAGCTATAAAGTAGTACATGTAAATCTAAATAAGGAAATCATGTTTTCATCTCTAATCATAAATGTAGTAAACATGTAAAGGTTCTGTCACAAAAAAATTGTAACTTCATTTAAGTTATAATACCAATCTTATATATAAGAATAAATGGAACACAAAGTTTTTTAATCAACTTACTCTATACCAATTTATTTATGAATTTTTTCAAAGACCATATGAATATCCCACTCTTCTTTTCCCTACCATTCCAAATCTCAAACCAATTATCCTGTTCTACTAGTTACGTCATAACCTGCATGCATCTAATAAACAGGAATAATTATTATACATGTAATGATCTTATCACACAACTATAGTGTAACACTGAAAATCCTTCATAATGGAACATGTTGTTGAAAAATCACCAACTTAAAAACAAATACACTATCAACAAAATAACTTAAAAAATAACACTTTCATTTGCATCAAAATGATACAACTATTTGTATAACAACATACATGTATTATTTATAGGTACAATGTGTACTTGTTTGCATATTCTCAGAAAAGAGAAAGTGTAGAGTATGGAATCATTAACAGACTTTTACAAAGGTCAATGTCATCAACAAAGTCCTCCCTCTTCCAATTCATCATCTGCTAGCTGTGCCCCTTGACCTGATGTGTCATTGGCTGCTTCATTTTTGACCACACCCACTCTGCCACTTCCTCCTGCAGGAATGACAAGTCCTCGGGCTATCTTTGCAAACTACAAAAAAAAGCGATATATTTTTTATCACCACTTATATGCAGGTGCCTGTGCTTAAATGGTAACATTTTTTTATTATTGTCATGGATACTAAACTATTCTATGTATAATTACTATTTTGAAAATGTACAGTTTTATCAACAGATGAAACAATCTTTATTCTTCATAGAAAATATTTATAATCAAATAAAAGTGCTTGGAAATGTTCAAGACAATTAAAGAAGCACTTCAAATTTTTAAATTATCATGTAACCTGTCTAAATAGGATAATAAATAGTGCATATTTTAAAAGGTAACAGTTGAAAATAACACTCTTTTGGAAAACCATTGTGAGCATGCAACTATTCATCAGTTGAGGTTGACAATGGGTTTTAGCATGGTCACTACTGTTTTGATGAATTTCTGTTGTTTGAGAATGTCATGAATTCCCTGGTTTTAAAGGGATTTTAAATTCTTTTACTTCTTAATTCTTTAATAACTAAAATTTGAATAAGATTCACCAGTCCCTCAAATAATTATTTGGAATGTGTGTAAGAAAGTAATTATTTATCAACAATTTCTGCATTTGCAAACCTTTTCTCTGTTTGTTGTTTTTTTTGAAAGCAACCTAATCCAGCACAATTACTATCTTATTCATTTACCTTGTTTTCAAACACACAATTGACGTACTGAATAATTCAACTGTATGTGCAGTAGTACTAGGTATGTGAGATTTTTGATGTAATGCCCATTGTTCAGTGGGATTATGATTTAAGCTGAGGGAAACGGAATGCTTATGCATCTAAGCCAATTAGGTTTTAGTTTACAAATACAAATACATGTCTAGTAATACCTGTTATAAATCTAGTTTTAATTTACATACACAATTGTCCATAAATTTAACGAAGGGTCTTGACAGTATTGCTCTGGCTTCTTCTTCATCTCCGTCATTAAATGCTCGAATCAACTCATCTGCCCCCTGAATAAACTCATCCTCTCCAGTTCCCTTACTGTAAATAAAAGAAAATAAAAATATTTGCTTTATACATTAAGAAATAAATGCTTCTTTTTATAAAGCTGAATGTCAACTTAGTTGACTGTCCCACTGACATTTAATTCTGAATACATGTATGCAGTCTCTTTACTTGTTGAAAAAATTTTCAAAAATTATAATCAAGATCAATTCTATGGTTTCTTTGAAATACATGTATAGTAATAATCCCTAAAAATTTGAACTAAGGCCAAAATTTTCTTTCTTTTCTTACGGTTTACATGACAAATTGTTAACATTTGCCGTAGATAATACATGTGTATAATTAATTAAAAGGTAATAATTTACTTTGATGCTGCTGTGAAGAAGTTCTCTGCAGCCACTGGGTCGCCATTCTGTAGGTTCACCAACACTATTCCCAGTATCACTCTGTTTATCATAGGAAAGTTCTCGGTCTGGTGGTGAAATTCTATTTCTCTTTTTAAAGCTTCAATTGCTAAATCATATCTGCATTAGAAAAAGAAATGATTACAACACGTCTAAAATTTACTTTGAAAATCAAGAAGTAATATATTATTAACAATCCATGAAAAAAATCTTTGCATAACAAAATCTTTTTATACTATAAATAAAGATAAGCTGTACCAATTTATGTACAACTCTACCTATGTCTATGACTATTTTTGTGAATTCTAGTTTCACAGAAAAGAATGAATCGTTTAAACGTCCACATTTGGCCCCCCGATAATTTACAAAAAATAAGTTTAAAGAATTTCTACATATTTTTGCCTTGATCTTTTCATCAAACATTGTAGTTTATTAATTTCATTTTCAATTTTCACTTACTTGCACTGTAATTGGGTATTGATCTGATTAATATAGCAGGGGTACGTTGTTTACATCGATTTCCCATAGACTTTAGGCCACACCCCCATTTTGAAAGCCCAATTTTTATATGAGCGCATTGATGTTTCAAGTTGTAGTAAATAGGGTCAATGTAAAGAGTTAAACTTGTCATTTTGATTCATGAAAGAAATTGAAACAGTCGTGCGCTCACATGTTATTTTCCAAAAAGGTGCAAAATCACAGGTACCTGTCTCTATAGTAAAGGCACCTTGTTTACAAATTTCAACCCGCCTTTGACCTCATGAATAACAAAGCATTGAACACGTGACTCAAATCTATTCACTTTCATGCTTTAAGCAGATCAATGCGACATCGTGTTTAGTGTTGCGAGCTATCGATGGTCAAACCCTTTTCAAATAGGTAATTAGAATTTAAAGTACCATTGGATAAAATTTCTTTAAAACGGTATACTTAAGAACTGTTCACATTTTTGATTTACTTGTTATTTCAGTCAATTTTGTTTGATTTTTTTTCTCCGGTATTTATCAATATATTTTGGAGGCTTGTAGCAAAAGGCTTGCACTTACTGCTTATATCTCATTAATATAGAATCTGAAAAAAATACCGAGGGTATGTACATGTTATCAATTTGCATACATGAGATTGTACATCACATGAGCGTTACGTTCATTGACTCTTGGAAGATAAAAAAATACGATTGTTATTTGAAAAAAAAAATTATCATATCTTTAGAAAATAAACCGTTTGTTACAATTAAAGAATCCTTACGGAAAAGAAATTGATGTGTGAGGCATTAAAAAGATTTATATATCGGATGAAACACGGTACACAAAATGCACCCCTACATGTAATTAATTATAAATAGAGGGAAACTCCGGGTTTCATCTGACGACACTACAAATGTTAAACTTTTTAATTACATCAGCACAAAATCTAAAAACAATGAAAGATTTAAATAAAAATATTAGACAAGTATGTAACAATAAATCGATTGAAAAAAGGGCGTTTTTTTTTTTGAAATGGTTCTATTGTTTATCTCACTAGAGGACGAGAATTTTTTTTAATAATGCAATCTGGAATGTACAAAGTACACTTGTCTAACACTGAAGGTTTTTTTTATATCCAGCAACGATAATGTTGACGTTAAACTGACGTTTAATTTTCACTTTCTTGCGAATTATTTTTCATACACAGAGTGAAGTTTTATGTAAATCACAATTCAACGACATTTGTTGTAGCACACCAACTTCGCAAAATTATATATATGTACATGATATGAAATAGTTATTCACGTGAATGTAAAAAGCAAATTAATTATAAGCTTTAATGGATTGATTATTATCTCTATCAAAAAAAGTTTTAAGTATGAAAAAGAGTGAATCCTGCATTATACGTTCTATTCACAAATTCCATTGTGTGTATTTATATATAAATAATCTGACGAATTTCTAATAAATAATTTCAAATATAACTCGTAATTTAAGCAGAAAAAAAATAAGCCTGACAAATTAAAACAAGGATGCTATGAGTTCAGTCTCTTGCACTAAAAAGAGGGCTTTTAGGTGTCAGTTCATCATAAAATGTAGTACACTTCGAACACACGCTAATGTATTCATACTAATCGCACGCTTGATAGACGCCCCGCCTTCCCATTCAAATGCTAATACTACAATGGCCTATATATAGCGAATGGCGAAGCTTTACTGTGAAATATGCGACTTTATTTAATCGATATCATGTATATATTAAAAGTCTCTTTCCTAAAAAATTCTTTATTAGTATCTATACAGACTATACTTGAAGACTCTAGTTATAAGATAACACTGTTCTTATTTAAAAGGGTAAAATTCTGCATTTAAAAAGGGGCGAGATTGCAGTGTTAAGAGGATTCATTCTTAACACCTCCAAAAAGAAATGCCTCAATGTCAACTTATGCGTTTCATAATTTTGTGAACTTGGCACCATAAACTATAACCATACAACCTAAAACTATTATTAGCATTTGCAACTACAGAGTTTACAAATTGTGAAACAGTATAATTCAGATTAACTATATTTTGCTATCACAATCTATAAGTTAACTACAGTTTATAGATGTAAATTACTGTAAATGTATTATATCTAGTGTGTATGATATTTAGCGGAATACCATTTATGAATAAGTTAGCATGGATTTGATTTAGCTTATTTCTTAATGTTCTTTTTTATGTTTGTATGTGCAAAACACTTTGCTTTGTACTTGAATTAGCAGGATTTTCTTTCCACCAAAAGGAATACACAACCAAATGCAATACATTTACAGAAATTACAGTATACATTAACATCGCATATTACAGTTTACTGTCTGTAAACTATAGTTTACTGTTTGTAAACTATAGTTTATTCAGTTAACCTAATTTGTCGACTATGAAACCATTTTATAACCCCCCTTTTTTTGGTGAATTTAGCATGATTTATTACTTAGCTTTTAGGAGTGATATTGAAAATTCTCTTACTTTTCTGCTCTGACAAATAATCTCCCTGCTTTTCCTGCAAACTCTGCACACTGTCTTGATTTGTCCTCCAACTAAAATGATCATAAATGAATGGATCAAATGAGGTAATTTTACTAGAACATTAGGAATATTTATATTAGGGATGGCAATCGATTACAGTCATTTACAGATTTGCTAATCGGTTAAACGCAAGACGTTACGACAGATTAACCAGTTAATCGTACCAAAATAAACATTTAAAAAAACATATTCATTAAAAAAAAATCATTTATCTGTATTTATCTACAGAAGAAGACTGCAATAGAGATATTATAAGATAGAAACATTATGCTCATTATCATGATCAGGAAACTATATGTATACATATAAAATATTCTATCTTATTTCAATAACTAGACAAGAAAAAATGAGAAAACCATGAATCTTCCCTGAGAAATTTAACACTGATATCTTTCCAGTGCAGATGTAAGCCAAATTCATTCTAATCAAAACTTTGTCTGAACTTTAACTTATACAATGTTTTTTTTCTAATAATATAATTTAGTAATTTTTTTTTGTAGATAACGACAAAAGATCGATATGGATACATACTCATTAAAAGTATTTTAAATAAAACTTTTTTGATTTTGGGGGTCTCTTCATACCAACAAAAGCATGAAAAATTAAATCTTAGCTATAAGAATTTGTCACTTCACAATAGTTCATTTAAATTGTAACTTTTAATGATTTAACTTATTGTATTTATAAATTGTCCATTTGTTTACATTAATATTTGAGATTTTGAGTCACAAATATGCACAAAAACTGAAACTCTTTGGGCTGATTTTGTTTTAAGCTGTAAAGGCAATCTTACCTCTGATATACTACAAGCTTTGTCATATAACTCAGCTGCTTTCTCTGGGTAGTTCAACTCAATAGTTCTACAATGTACAAAAATACAAATTAACCTAATCATACAAAATATTATAACATACATGTGCAACGGAGTAAATACCAGCATTTTCATTGCAGTGACTCTTATTTTTGCCTCTTATGATCTAGAATTACTTTGTACATGTACAGCAATGTATCTGTTGACTCAAAAGAATAAATGTTAATAAAATAACTAAGTAAACAAAGATAGTTTTTAAGTTTTCAGAAGTACTTGTATATTCTGTTATTAACAGACAGACAGGAATGTGGCATACTTGGCTGCTCTGTCTAAAGTCAATGCCGCAGTGTCAGCTGTCCCATTCTGCTGGAAAAGATCTGCTGCCCGCTCCAGTAAATTCACACAGCCTTCAACGTCCTTAAACTCCTTACACAGCAAACCTGCTTGTTCCATCATCCTGTAATGATATTTCATCTATATAAATGTGGCTCAAATAATTTTGTCTTTAAAGTTCTCTAAAAGAATAAAAGACCTTCTTTGAAATAATATTTAAAAAAAAGTTACACTTTTTGTATATAAAGATGAGAGAAACAAAATAATGATAAAATTTCTTTGAATTTCAAATGGCTGTAAAATCAACATTACTTACTTTGCTGCATTAAAAATACTGGAAGTGTTAAGAAAAAGAAAATCAGAATATTAAAATAGTCCTTACATATAAATCTAATGTCTCAAAGAAATATATCACAAATTTTTAAACAAGATTTGTTTGTGAAAATATAATGTTACTGACCAGTTGAAATGGGGGCAAATTTGAGCATGCTTGAATACATGTATCTCCAAATGTTCTTGAATCAGAGGAATGGCAATATTCTCTGAGTGTGTAGTCTACTCTTGTGGCAAGTATCAGCTTTCATAAAACTTCTCTCCATTAGAAATATTTACATGTAATATTAAAGAACAAAAATTTAATGCTTCTAATCAGTCTTAACAAATAAATATTGGATTTCAGATCTCATCCTTTGGACACTCCGTAAAAGTATAGAGCATTTCAATAAATATTAAATAAAATATGGTGTCACTGTGTGTGTACTCTGGTTTTATGGAAAATAAAAAAATGAAAGAAAAATAAAGTAACTATAGAAAGGATACGAATTCATCTGTTTGTATATATCAGCAGCTTTAAGGAAGGCATCCTTTGCCTCTGCAAAAGCTTTGGCATTTCTGAAACACGTGGCTGTAATTAAAATAAGATACATGTATATAATAATTAAAATATTCAACTTATGAATAATACACTGCAAATGATAACTTGTTTTTCTTGAAAATTTTAAATACCTGCTTTTGTGTACTCTGAAGCAGCACTATCCAAGTCTGGTTTCCACTTGAATAAAGATGTTTTCATGCTATAGAAAAAATAAATGAATAAAGCATTAATGCAAGATCATGTAAACAGATATATATCACAAAAAAGTAAGTATTTACATATTTATACAATATACATATACTATCATTTAGAATAAAATAATACATGAGTTGTTTCCTTAAGATATGACAATGAAATTATGCAAGGGAGCAAATGAGTAGTTCATCTGCATTTTCTCCTTTTAGATGAAATTATAAAAATGTTGCAAACAAGATAATTTATACATATGCGGTAATTGACAAATATATGAAAAATTATCAGATCTGAGAAGAGTTGTCACCCTTTAGAACTTTCTCCTTTCTAAATAGTTCATAATAAATTGTATAATACATGTGAATACAGTATATATCCATAAGTGAGTTGATCAAAATTGCATAATTTATTAATTATTTACACTGTCTACATGTAGGTTACAGTAAGGTAGTCTTACTATTGGTATTTTAATTACTAGACCCTCATGTAGAGCAAACAGTATTCATGTTTTTAAAAAACAGATAGAGGTATTGTGAGCAATGAGCTCACTAAATGATACCCCCCGCCTCCCATTTGGTTATAATGGCAAAGTCCATGTTTTGCTGTGGCTGTGAAACCCAAAATATGTGTCAGATCAAAAAGTAAAAAAGGAGGTGCACAATGGCAATATGTAATAAAGATTCTGTGAAAGTTTCATTAAATTTCACTCAGTGGTATAAGAGGAGTTGCGGGTAAGAGATGGGTACCCCAAAGCATAACAGACAGACAGACGGATGGACAGATGTACAGACAGACAGACAGACGGACGTACAGACGGACATACCGATTACTTACTCCAGCATGCTAGAGGTTCACGGCGAGATACTTTTGACTTGGCGCCGAGGTATATAAGGAGCGTAGGGACGTTAACCGAGGCTCTTACTTGTAGGAGTAACAGATTACTATATACCCTCCCTCTTTTCAAGTGGGGTGTATAATGAAAATATCAGATCTTGCACATACTGACTGGTTTCACATGAAAATTTGCTTATGAATTAGCAAATGTCACATATAGCTGTCATTACATCAGGAACAAACTGGATAATCTAACTATCCAAAATTTATGCGCAAGTTTCAGAGGTACATGACCAGAGTTTCAGGGGTCCCGGGTGAATCACTGTCTGGTACGCTACATCTTTTTCCTCTCCCGTTACATTTGGTGCCATGCCTTAGAACTGACAGGTGAGAGGCCTGTCAGGAACAGAGTTTCCGAAAACCAAAAATTTCTATCAGTCATTCGGACTGATGACTTGATGCGTTCTACCAGTCCGAAGCATTTTCTATCAGTCCGAATAAATTTTAGAATATGCAGTGTATTTATATTTCATGTCAGATGCAAAAGAAAATGGCATTGAATATGTAAAGATTTTTGTGGCTCACCAACACTGATTTTGATACCTTGGTTATGCAACTATAAATAATTCAAGCATGGCATCAGCCCGCACAGGCTTGTGGCAGCAATAAAGTCACAAAACTAAAGGGAAAAGAAACAACTAATTACAAAAATTGTTAATTCTTGAAAAAGGAAAATTCTCAATGTTTCGGCTAGAATTCCTTTTAAAATTTAAAAGTTAATTCTTACTTGTAAAATTGAATCATATATAAATAGCAGTTATGATAGAAATTCAAAATAAAAATAAATTTTAAATTATCTTTACGTTTTCTCAGTGGGCATTGCACTTCATGGCCTAAATACTATATGTGTTTATCAATAATTATTAATAACAGAGGAATGGAGGAAATTCGGATTAGGAAAAAAAACGATCGTTTTTGGAAGTAAATAAGTCAAGTAGAACTGCAAAATGGATAAGATTATGGATATTTACAAAGAATAGGAGCTTGCTGCCTTGGAAATTTTCATTTATGAAGATATTGCAATAGATTAGAGTACAATAATTTAATCAGGACAAGCCCTCACCACAATCGGTCACACGGACCGGTACTGTAGCGAATTTCATCGGACATTTCGATTTTCTATCGGTTTTGCCGGTAGGACCGATAGTTTTCGGAAACTCTGGTCAGGAATGAGCCTGGGTTGGGGTCTTTGGGGGCCAAAGACCTTTAATTAGGGAGGAATGTGGTGGTCAGCCGGGTTCGATCCCTGGTGGCTGAATTGCTCAGTTGGTAGAGCACCTGACCGGAGATTCAGGGGGCCCGGGTTCAAATCCCAATCTGGTCCGCTGCATCTTTCTTTTCTCCCATTACAATGAGCTACATTGCTATTTCAAGCTAAATAGCTTTATTTGGAGATTGTGCTGGACCTGTATATATAGGTCCCTGGCCACAAAAAGTATATTTTGTACATGTTTTAAAGTCAAGTACTTTGCAGGACAGATTCATATCTGTATAGGTTCCAGATTCACATAGATTATTATTATGTTATTCATTTTTATAACGTTACAGTTAATCTCATATTTGCTAAGGTATGATAACTGTTAAAAAATAATGAACACCAATGAATATACATAATCAAAACATGTCAATATGAAAATATGACATCATAACTATTTTAAAGAGAGAATTTTTTAACTTCGATTACATGATTGAACAGAAACATACTATTTCTCAGCGGCGTGAACATGTGCCTTCCCTTCTGCATTTTTTTTCTGCTGAACATCTCCAGACATTCTTCTTTAGTTTACAATTTTAGAAATTCAATGAACATAAAATTAAAAATGTTCGTCTTCTGGGGATACTCTAAATGCTCTGTATCTCGAGCCCGATTCTTTAAAGAAAAAAAAAACTCTTTTGCCAAAAAAGGTACGTTTGGTGCTTGAACGGTTGACAGAGAGAAGGCATGGCATCGAATTTAGAAGAAACACTTAGTAGGCTTTTACTGCCGGATAATAACACGATCAAGCAGGTGAAATATGTCGCATATACTTTAAAAACATACTTTTGATAGTAGTATAATAAAACAAATGTGGCTGAGTGAAACTTTTTTCAATACAACATCTGGTGGTTACTCATATCTGAAAACGCGGGAAATTTCAGTTATTTCGGGAATGTCATTTATTTGATTTGATATTTTATCTTAATCAAAAGTTTTCATTTCTCAATACATGTGATGATGGCCTAAAATCTTTTTAATTTACAAACCAGGCTACTCTGCAATTGAAGGAGATTTTTAAAGACCCCAACATTGTGCCGGGTTTGTGTCAGATACTTGGTTCCTCACAATCTGCTCAGGTATGTTATAAAAACACAGTTACACTCTCAACTCATATGAATAATACAGTTAACTCACCAAAAAAAAAAAAACACAAAAAAAAACAACCCACTGCATTGAGAATTAGCTACCCATTTGGTTCAGTTAATTAGGTCCAGTATACACTACAGTCACTTCATTAAGAGGTCTATACATCTTTAATTATTACATAATGTTATATTTATTTAAACAAATTCAATAATAAAAACTGGTAGAAGTGTGAAAATTTATATAAGAAATGTAGTAAGAAGGGAGAAATGCATGAAGAAAACGGCTGCCTGGACAGGAAATTGAACCCAGGACCCTAGCTGCAGGACAGTAGATCTCCCAAAAAAATTTATTGACAGACCTTTTTGTGCGCAGTAAGTATACAGTTTTTACAATGGAGGGCACTGTAGCTTTCTGGTCTGTCAACATTTTTTTTTTTTTCGGTGAGCTACATTTCTACAGCTACCGGAACCCTGCATTATTAGTCAGGTGCTCTAACCACTGAGCTATATAGGCCTATATCCACGGTCTGTAAAGCCCCGACCTCTACAGAAATATGAAATAGAATTAAAAAAATAGTTAAAAAATTATTATTGAAAAGTTTTGTGAAATAAAAGAAATATCTTTCATTTTTACTTTTGGATATAAGATTTTTTTTTTTAATATCTATTACTGTAACACAAGATTTTCAGGTAAAGTATTGTTATCCTTAGGTATATATAGTTATTTAGCATTTTAAATTGATATAAAATTAGCTATTAAATAATATTTTATGGTTTAAGGTAAGACAACTGGCAGCTGTTTTGTTGAGAAGGAAAGTTCAGAAGGGGCGACAGTGGAGAGCACTGCCAGAAAATGTCTGTCAGAAGTAAGTATGGTTTAAAGACGGATATGTGTTGTGTAGATCTAATACATGTACTTCATTAGATTATATTGCCACATAACAAAATCTATCACTGGTGTAACAACAAATTATTCACAATTTTTTTGAATTGTTGTTTCAGCATCAGAGAAAACATCTTACAGTTGCTGTTACAAGAACCAGAGTAAGTGGCCATCTTGGGAAACATGTACCTCAACCTGTGTGCATGATGTGCATTGATCTACTGATGACCAAGAAATTTTAAATTAGACACACAATTATGAGATAGATTTAACAAATGAATAGAAATGAGAATATTAACATTGTTCACATATGACAGTGTATTTGACATAAATAGTTCCAACATTGTTTCTTTGCAGGAAATTTGTGAGAAATTCCATTGCCCAAGTAGTAGCTATAGTAGCAAAGCATGATCTACCAAAGAACCAATGGCCCCAGCTCTTCCAGTTCATACTGGCCTATACTAAAAGTCAGAACAGTGCTGAAAGAGAGGTTAGTATGCAAATTATTAAAGATAGAACTGTATTGTAAAGTATTTTTTTTTGGTTCTTTTACAAGTATTGAAAATTTTCTTGACAGTAATTTAAAAGTCCACAACAAATTTTTTGACTGAAATTGAGATTGATGTATATTAATATGCTGAATATACATGTATATTTGAAAAGAAAAGCTTAGATGTCATAAGAATAACAGACTATTACAATAATTACCACAGTCTAAAAATTTCAGTCTACATATTCATGTAACAAATTTATATCTAAGAGTTTGGTGTCATTAAGTAGCTTTAATATTTCTTTGAAGATTCAATTTAAACTTAACAGCAAAAATAAGAGGAGAAAAAGCTTATACATGTACCTCCATTTGAATGTATGATTTTACTGTGAAGTATAATGAATTTTCTCCCCCTTAGATTGGTATGTTTGTCCTGTACTCGGTGGCAGCCGCTGCGGGGGAGCAGCTAAAGCCCCACCTGACCTCTGTACTACAGCTGGTTAACGAGGTCATTCAGGACTCCGAAAATCAACTCGTCCCATACTATGCCATAAGGTAATATAGTATAAGAGTATCATTATGATCATGTACATTGCATGAAATATCACAAATATTAAGAACATTGTATAAAGAACATATAATAAATTTTATAAAGTACATTGTATAAAAGACTTAATTATGCTGTTTATACTAGATGTTGTTCATTCTTTTCAGGACTGTGACAGAAGTGATATTCTTCATTGGAGATGATGAAGTCGTAAGCTCTTTTTCTTGTTATATATAGTTTCTCATCACAAAAGATTATGATATAACATGAAAAAAGAAGTCCATAATTAAACATATTTGAATTTTTATGCTCCGCCATGAATATGGCCGGGGCATATAGTGTTTGTCATGTCCGTCTTCCGTCCTTCCGTCCTTCTGTCTTTCCGTCCTTCCGTCCTTCTGTCCTTCCGTCCTTCCGTCTTCCGTCACACTTTGCGTTTAGCTCTGTTCAAAGCTAAGTTTCTTTGAAACTATCCAAGATATTTTCATCAAACTTCAAATGCTGATAGATATTGACGAGAGCTATGCAACTGCATCAACATTTTTTGACCCTGACCTTTCCTTTGACCTTGACCTCACTTTTCTTAAATTGGTGTTTAGCTCAGATTTGAACATACCATTCAAGTTGGTGTTATCAAACTTCACATGTTGATACAAACTTGCATGGATGATGCATCTAGAGATGAACACTACCAGACTTGCTTCGGATGCTGGATCTGACCTACATTTTCCAGATAAGTGACCAGGTTAAAGTTTTTGGAGCAGGTCCATTTCCAAGGAACTATAAGCCCTACCCAATCCAAACTTTCATGGACGATGCATCTAGGGATGAACACTACCAGACTTGCTTCGGATGCTGGATCTGACCTACATTTTCCTGATATGTGACCAGGTTAAAGTTTTTGAAGCAGGTCCATTCCTAAGGAACTATAAGCCCTACCCAAACCAAACTTGCATGGATGATGCATATAGAGATGGACACTACCAGACTTTCTTCGGATGCTGAATCTGACCTACATTTTCATTCCCAAGTAACTATAAGCCCTACCTGAACCAAACTTGCATGGATGATGCATCTAGGGAAGGACACTACCAGACTTGCTTTGGATGCTGGATCTGACCTATATTCTCATTCCCTAGTAACTATAAGCCCTGCCTGAACCAAACTTGCATGGATGATGCATCTAGGGATGGACACTACCCGACTTGCTTCGGATGCTGGATCTGACCTATATTTTCATTCCCAAGTAACTATTAGCCCTGCCTGAACCAAACTTGCATGGATGATGCATCTAGGGATGGACACAACCGGACTTGCTTCGGATGCTGAATCTGACCTATATTTTCATTCCCAAGTAACTATAAGCCCTGCCTGAACCAAACTTGCATGGATGATGCATCTAGGGATGGACACTACCAGACTTGCTTCGGATGCTGAATCTGACCTATGTTTTCATTCCCAAGTAACTATAAGCCCTGCCTGAACCAAACTTGCATGGATGATGCATCTAGGGATGGACACTACCAGACTTGCTTCGGATGCTGAATCTGACCTATATTTTCATTCCCAAGTAACTACGAGGGTTGTTGGAAAATTATTGAGACATTGTGTATATTTTGCTTTCTAATGAACGTCTTTCGGTGATAATTTGCATATACGTTTGACGTACATTAAGAATTAATAAAAGCAAGAAATATTTTATAAATATTAAATATTTTCTGTACAGTGATATATAAATGCGTCATCAGTAGGGGTACCCGGAGCAGTCTCGAAATCAGATATTGAAAATATGCAGCATCAACGTTCTAACTCTTCGTGGACTCATAATAAGAGCGAAAATAATTGTGTTTATGTGTATAATTTTTCAGCTTTAATTCAAATTCATGTTGTGCAACTTTGATAGAATTTTGATCAGGAATACGGAGATCATAAAAAAATTAAGCGCGGTAGAGAAATCTGCTAAGAACGAAAAAATGGATTTTGACGTCAAGGGCGGAGCAGGGAACATACCTAAAATTTAGTGTAGCGCAGTGTAGAACTCTTTTCCAGACACAACGACCTACTAGAATAATAAGTACGAGAAAAAAATAATGTGATAGGGTTTGTTATTTCATTGGTATAATTTTTTTTTACAATTAGTTTAACCAGAGTAAAATCAAAAGCTCTGGACGACCATCAGTTATTACGTACGGTATTAATATCGTTACGGTATCAATATCGTTGACCCGCGTTGCATAAATCGACACTGTATGATTTTAAGTCAACTTTTCCCACAAAAGAAAATATTACACTCGGGTAGCAACAGCATACGTTTTTAAGGAATACTTTGAGAAAAGAGACTGTTAGATTTTTGTACTGTTATATGTAATAACAAAGAAGGAAGATTAAACACTTCCCGATCGTTTTACATGCGAAACCATCCCTGGCTGACGTGACGTTAAAATGACGTAGTGATGCTGCTCCGGGTCGATAGACATACGTTTATTATGTTTATTGATTCATGTTGTGTTTTAATAAAAATGTTTATTATTTCACCAAAACTTTTCTTATTGTCATAGGAATTAAAAATTTTGCATAAGTGTTTTATTCGTTCTTTATAAAATGTTGATGAATTTTCCTGAAATTATCTCCGTCCTTTATGGAGTAAATGTAATTGTCGCAATAATTTCCGAACAGCCCTCGTATAAGCCCTGCCTGAACCAAACTTGCATGGATGATGCATCTAGGGATGGACACTACCAGACTTGCTTCGGATGCTGAATCTGACCTATATTTTCATTCTCAAGTAACTATAAGCCCTGCCTGAACCAAACTTGCATGGATGATGCATCTAGGGATGGAAACAACGTGACTTGCTTCGGATGCTGAATCTGACCTACATTTTCATTCCCAAGTAACTATAAGCCCTGCCTGAACCAAACTTGCATGGATGATGCATCTAGGGATGGACACTACCCGACTTGCTTCGGATGCTGGATCTGACCTACATTTTTATTCTCAAGTAACTTTAAGCCCTACCTGAACCAAACTTGCATGGATGATGCATCTAGGGATGGACACTAACAGACTTGCTTCGGATGCTGGATCTGACCTACATTTTTATTCCTTAGTAACTATAACCCCTACCTGAACCAAACTGATCAAATTTTATACACATATGAATTTTCATGTTGCTTTACTAAATATCCTCGGCGGGGCATTCATGTCCTATGGACATATTTCTAGTTTTAAAATTTGAATTATAATATGGATTCTTGTCAGTTGTAATATAAAAATATAAAGACAAAATTGGAAAGGGAATATAAACATATGCTGAATAATTGGGAAAAATTCTGTAGGTTAGAGGCAACTCATTGGTATTTTTTGTTTTTTTCTTCGTTTTGATTTTCTTATCAATTTATATTTGTTTACAACCTTTCCATATTATGTTCAGTATTGAAAGCCCTCAGTTTTATGACCAGTTTATGTCCAACACCTCAAATGTTGGAATCATTCAAAAGTTATTTTTACAGTTCAACAATGAGATTTAGAAGTTTGTATTTTAAGAATGTTTGCACAATTTTAGCACATATTTTTTAAATTGCTTAGTGAAATACAGCTTAAAAGTAAGGAACCATTTTTAGCTCACCTGAGCCGAAGGCTCAAGTGAGCTTTTCTGATCACATTTTGTCCGTCGTCCGTCCGTCTAGCTGTCTGTCCGTCTGTAAACTTTTCACATTTTCGACTTCTTCTCAAGAACCACTGGGCCAATTTTGATCAAACTTTGTACAAAGCATCCTTGGGTGAAGGGGAATTTAAATCGTTAAAATGAAGGGACATATCCCCTCGCAAGGGGAGATAATCAAGAAGTGACAAAAATAGGGTTGGGTCATTAAAAAATCTTCTTCTCAAGAACCACTGAGCCAGTAAATCTGAAACTTATGTGGAAGCATCCTGGGGTAGTGTAGATTCTAAATTGTTCAAATCATGACCCCCGGGGGAAGGGCGGGGCCACAATGGGGAATCAAAGTTTTATATAGAAATATATAGGAAAAATCTTTGAAAATCTTCTTCTGAAGAACCACTTGGCCAGAAAAGCTGAAACTTATGTGGAAGCAACCTGGTACAGTGTAGATTCTAAATTGTTCACATCATGACCCCCGGGAGAAGGGCGGGGTCACAATGGGGAATCAAAGTTTTACATAGAAATATATAGGAAAAATCTTTGAAAATCTTCTTCTCAAGAACCACTGGGCCAGTAAAGCTGAAACTTATGTGAAAGCATACTGGGGTAGTGTAGATTCTAAATTGTTCAAATCATGACCCCCGGGGGAAGGGCGGGGCCACAATGGGGAATCAAAGTTTTATATAGAAATATATAGGAAAAATCTTTGAAAATCTTCTTCTGAAGAACCACTTGGCCAGAAAAGCTGAAACTTATGTGGAAGCATCCTGGTGTAGTGTAGATTTTAAATTGTTCAAATCATGACCCACGGGGGAAGGGCGGGGCCACAATGGGGTATCAAAGTTTTACATAGAAATATATAGGAAAAATCTTTGAAAATCTTCTTCTCAAGAACCACTGGGCCAGAAAAGCTGAAACTTATGTGGAAGCATCCTGGTATAATGTAGATTCTAAATTGTTCAAATCATGACCCCCTGGGGAAGGGCGGGGCCACAATGGGGAATCAAAGTTTTATATAGAAATATATAGGAAAAATCTTTGAAAATCTTCTTCTCAAGAACCACTGGGCCGGAAAAAGTGAAGCTTATGTGGAAGCATTCTGGGGTAGTGTAAATTCTAAATTGTAGGAATCTTGACCCCCGGGGGAAGGGCGGGGCCATTATAGGGAATCAAAGTTTCACATAGAAATATATAGGAAAAATCTTTGAAAATCTTCTTCTCAGGAACCACTGGGCCAGAAAAGCTGAAACATATGTGCCCATGGAAGGATCATGGGGTAGTGTAGATTTCAAAATGTCTAAATTATGATCAGTGGGGTAGGGTGGGGATGCATTATGTATAACAAGGGGGAAATCTGGTAAAGAACAGAATGGTCAAAGCTTCTCAGGTGAGCGATGTGGCCCATGGGCCTCTTGTTTTCATAAATGTGCTTTCAAAGTGTTTTCACTAATATAATATATCCTATTAAAGTATTTGATTTACATGTAAGTGTGATCAAATTGTTGAGAATATATTTCAGAAATACATACAGAATGTGATTCCTCGTATGTTACAAGTTGTCCAGGAAATTATCCCTGTAGATGAAGTAAGTTGTAGAATTCTATACGTACATGTATAGTGTATTCCTAGGTTTTCAGACTGGAAAGCATTTCTTATTGTCCAGATAATGGTTGAGAGCAATGCATATGCACTTTATTTTGAAGTCCTAAATATTTTATTTTATTACAATTTGATCATTCTTTGGAGTCATGCACAGTACTGAAATCCAACAAAAACAAAGTTAATTTTATTTTCCTGCAGGATAAGGCATGTGAACTGTTGGAAGTGTTTGACGAGATGTTGGAATGTGAAGTCTCCATCATTGTTCCTCATATCAAAACCACACTAGAATTCTGTCTACAGGTTTGTAGATATTCATTAGAAAGTAGTTCTTTGAATGAAAATCTTGCTATAATGAAATCTTGCAATGAATTCGTCATCATTTTAACTGCTCATATGATATAGCTAACTTTTATTCCATATTAAGTATATAATTGTGCTATGTTTCAGTTACATTGCTTTACTCAAACATGATTTTTTTCTTCTAGGTTGCTAGTCGTCATGATCTGGGAGACAACATGAGAGTTAAAGCCATGTCCTTTGTGGCATCTCTAGTCAGGCAGAAAAAGAAGGTAATAACAACAGTTTAACTGATTTCATAAATTGTTTAATGGATTATTTCCAAACTATAGGGATTTTAAAATTTCTGTCCTGCACATTTCATTGATGGTAAGGTCTTTTTTTTTTTTATCTCTCTGTATTTCTTCAGAATACAAATTAATCATTTGTCAATATCCTTAAAAACTTGATGGAAAAATCTCAAGTTTCAGGCATAAAAAATCAAAAGAAGTACATGTAAATTGGACTTTTTTTTTATTTTCAATGTGCATGTGGCTCTGTACTGTCATGGATATTCCTCTCAAAGAAAAAAAAAATGGTGAGAGGGGACCATTTCATTCACAAATACATTTTGCCAGGATTATTATTAAAATTTGAACATTTAATAAATCATAAATTTTATTTTAAAAGTTGAAATGCTCTGTTTATTTAGGCGTTTCTGAAGCACAAGATGGTGGACCCTGTTTTATCCATTCTGTTCCCCATCATGTGTGCTGGTAGTGAGGAGGATGAGGATGAAGACGACCTGGATGATCCGGAATGTAGGATGCCATCCATGTATGCTCCACAGGTAGGCATCCGATTAGTTCTAGACAATGTACGTAAAATGTTCTATAGATAGGCGTAACAATCATTTCTCAACATTTCACATAAAATGCTCCACAAGCAGGCTGCTCCACAGGTAGGCATCCGATTAGTTCTAGACAATGTACGTAAAATGTTCTATAGATAGGCGTAACAATCATTTCCCAACATTTCACATAAAATCCTCCACAAGCAGGCTTCATAATTTTAACAAAATAAAGTACCTAAAATAATTATATAAAATATGAATACAAACTTACTAATTTATGCTCTGTATATTTGTACAATTTGATGTTGCTGTAGGTGATAGACACAATGGCAATCCATTTACCTCCAGACAAGGTCATTCCCAATGTTGTAAGTAAACAATATCACTCAAGTTCTATAGGAAAGGGCTGGGGAGATTCCCTTCCGTAGAAAAAAAAATTCCTTTCAACTCTTTATTGTGAATTCTGAGATACATGTAACTGAGAAGTGTTTGTGATTTGTAGATCAAACTGGTAGAACCCAACATTGTGAGTGAGTCCCCCTCCCACAGACGGGCCAGTTTCCTTACTTTAGCGGTTGTTGTAGAGGGATGTGCCGATTACATAAAACAAAGGTGAAATATTTGTCCTTCATCCCTTTGCACATTTTAAGAAATGTATCTTTACCAAATATATAAAAGGCAGACCTTTTTGAAAACTTCCTTTCTTTTGTTTATTTGAAACTAATTAACATTACCAGTTCAACATGAATACATTCATTTTCCACTGTTGATATGGTATTAAGAAAGATGTATTAAAATGTCAAAATATTGAGTGTCCAGCATCTTTGATTTCGAAATTTCAGACATCTGCAAGCACTTCTACAGTGTGTTGTTAAGGGGCTCAATGACCAAGATCCAGGAGTACGAAACTCGGCTCTGTTTGCTCTAGGACAATTCTGTGAGCACTTACAGGTACATAACATGCTTCCTCATTGTATGCTGCATTAACTCAATTATGAATGAAGATACCGTATAGCTGGTTTTCTTGGCGGGTGTAAAATTTGGCGTTTTGCATGCTCAAAGGTATGCCAGTTATTTTGACGTAATTTATTTTAGTGGACACAGGGTTTTAACTTTTTGTAGATGAACACTACAAAGATTACTAATTATTTAAGGGATTAAAATTTTAGCGAGGTTCTACCAAAACGCCAAAATAAGCCAAAATTAGCACCCCAATAAATAACCTGCTGTACTGTAAATTTCAGACTTGGATCACTACATTAATACATGCTTATCTTTGTAGCCAGAGATAACGACATATGCATCAGAGTTGATCCCCTTGTTGTTCCAATATCTTGGCAAAGCAACACAAGAAGTAGACAAGAATCCCAAAGGACTAACAAAGTGTTACTATGCTCTGGAAACTTTCTGTGAAAATCTGGGTAAGTGAAAATGTACAGCATGACATTATTATTGTCAACCAATCAAGCCTGAATGAAAATTCAAATCAATCCAAGTAAAAAAAAATGATGCAAGCTTTTCCAGAGTCATTAAGTATGTATTCTTGCACTACAGTCTAATACACAAAAACTAGTAATTTTCAGTATTTTTGCAGTAAATTACAAAGTGTTATACAAATTTTAATGCTTAATGTTTTGTGTGAAGCATTTTGTACCAGCCAGGTCAAGAAATCTTATGTGATTTTCCTGTTTGTAGATAAGGATATCTTACCATACTTGCCTACTCTGATGGAGCACACATTGTCAACGCTGAAAACTGCCACAAATACTCGAGCAAAGGAACTAGCCATCAGCGCTATAGGAGCTACTGGTAAGTCAAGATTTATAAAACCTGAAGTTACTCAGCCAACAAAGTTTTCTCAACAAGCTATGCCTTTTTAGCTCACCTCAACGAAGTTGGGGGAGCTTATGTAATACCCTCGGCGTCGGCGTCGGTGTCGGCGTCCCAGGTTAAGGTTAAGTTTTTTGGAGCAGTTTTCTTTTTAAGTACTTCTATGTCCTATATTGATTAGACATGCATGGAAGATGGTTCTAGTGTGTTTCATTGTACCAGTCAAAGTTTCAGATGCTGCAATTTCAGCAAAGGAATGACCAGGTTAATGTTTTTGGAGCAGGTTAACATTTTTGGTGCAGTTTTTGGTGTAGGTTTCATTTCCAAGTAACTATAATCCCTATGTTGACCAAACTTGCATGGATGATACATCTAAGAATGGATACTACCGGGCTTGCTTCAGATGCTGAATCTAACCTACATTTTCCGGTTGAGTGAACAGGTTAAAGTTTTTGGTGCAGGTTTCATTTCCAAGTAACTATGAGACCTACGTTGACCAAACTTGCATGGATGATACATCTAAGGATGCATACAACCGGGCTTGCTTCGGATGCTGAATCTGAGCTACATTTTCCGGTTGAGTGAACAGGTTAAAGTTTTTGGTGCAGGTCTCATTGCCAAGTAACTATAAGCCCTATGTTGACCAAACTTGCATGGATGATACATCTAAGGATGGATACTACCGGGCTTGCTTCGGATGCTGAATCTGACCTACATTTTCCGGTTGAGTGAACAGGTTAAAGTTTTTGGTGCAGGTTTCATTTCCAAGTAACTATGAGACCTACGTTGACCAAACTTGCATTGATGATACATCTAAGGATGCATACTACCGGGCTTGCTTCGGATGCTGAATCTGACCTACATTTTCCGGTTGAGTGAACAGGTTAAAGTTTTTGGTGCAGGTCTCATTTCCAAGTAACTATAAGCCCTATGTTGACCAAACTTGCATGGATGATACATCAAAGGATGCACACTACCGGGCTTGCTTTGGATGCTGAATCTGACCTACATTTTCAGGTTGAGTGAACAGGTTAAAATTTATGGTGCAGGTTTCATTTCCAAGTAACTATGAGACCTACGTTGACCAAACTTGCATGGATGATACATCTAAGGATGCATACAACCGGGCTTGCTTCGGATGCTGAATCTGAGCTACATTTTCCGGTTGAGTGAACAGGTTAAAGTTTTTGGTACAGGTCTCATTTTCAAGTAACTATAAGCCCTATGTTGACCAAACTTGCATGGATGATACATCTAAGGATGGATACTACCGGGCTTGCTTCGGATGCTGAATCTGACCTACATTTTCCGGTTGAGTGAACAGGTTAAAGTTTTTGGTGCAGGTCTCATTTCCAAGTAACTATAAGCCCTATGTTGACCAAACTTGCATGGATGATACATCTAAGGATGGATACTACCGGGCTTGCTTCGGATGCTGAATCTGACCTACATTTTCCGGTTGAGTGAACAGGTTAAAGTGTTTGGTGCAGGTCTCATTTCCAAGTAACTATAAGCCCTATGTTGACCAAACTTGCATTGATGATACATCTAAGGATGCATACTACCGGGCTTGCTTCGGATGCTGAATCTGACCTACATTTTCCGGTTGAGTGAATAGGTTAAAGTTTTTGGTGCAGTTCTCATTTCCAAGTAACTATAAGCAGTATGTTGACCAAACTTGCATGGATGATACATCTAAGGATGCACACTACCAGGCTTGCTTCGGATGCTGAATCTGACCTACATTTTGCGGTTGAGTGAACAGGTTAAAGTTTTCATCAAGAGATGAAAATTCTCAAATTTGCTTCAGATGCTGGATTTTGATTACATTTTCATGAAGAAGAACTAGTTTAAATTGTTTATGTAGGTCTATTTCAAAGTATCAGATCAAAATTGCTTAAATATTTTCATTTTTGGAATGTACACTTTTTGTTGGTTAATTGTGTGACTTTGCCTTACTTAAAGACAACATTCGTTGAGGTGAGCTCTGTAATCTCTGATTACCTATGTTTATGCATTCTCTTGACTTAAAATTATTTGAATTTATTCATTCAATTGCAGCAAATTCTGCCAAGGAATTACTAAAACCATACTTTGCTGACATCATAGAGCAATTTAAACCATATCTGGTACCTCACTCAGAGACTGGGGATACCTCAGAGGAGGACATTAGAAAGCTACAGATTCAAACATTGGGTAAGTTACATGTATAATCATACTAGTACAGTGTATGTGTTCACATAAGTCTAATCAAGTGAATTAAATTTGCAAATAAAAATTCTGAATCTAAAAGCTATTTACATGTATATTGCTGCAAATGAAAATTTAACTTCTTATTTACTGCTCTCATTTTGTAAATTATCACTACTAGATAATATCTATGAAATATATATATACACAGTTTAATAAGCAAAAATAAAAAATAAAGTGCTCATGAAAAGCCTTCCTACTGACCATATATATGTGTAATGAATTCATATTTAGTGTCTTTTAAAATTAAGATACCCTAAGTGTGATAGCAAGAAGCATAGGAGCTGAAACCTTTGCCCCTATTGCAAAAGAATGTGCTGAGTTTGGAATCAACTTACTCAACACTGTAGATGACCCAGACCTTAGAAGATGTGTGTAAGTAAACCTGATATTTTTAAAAATGTGACTTCCAAGTTTGTTCAACTTAAAAATTAACTATATCCAAATTTTTCAAATAAAACACTTCTTGTAATTATTAACATGTAAATACAAACAGGTATGGACTCTTTGCTGCCTTGTCTGTCATCATGAAGAAGGATATTTCACCCTACCTGGAGGTCTTAGTCACGTTTATGATGGCCTCCCTGAAGTCCACAGAGGGAGTACAGGTCAGGGGATTTACCTATAGCAGAACTTGCAGGAGCTTATCAATTAAAAGTGTCCATCATTGTTTTAATGCAGTCTTGATAACGAAGCTTCTTACTTCATTGCTCTGTGTATCTTTTCTTTAGACCCACTACAAGGAGGATGAGGATCAGGTGGCTATCTTCAATGAGGAGGACCTGTGTGATGAGGAAGACATTGCTGAGGAGGATGAAGAGGAGGATGAGGAAGATCAGAAAATACAGGGGTACAGGACGGCTTACACTTCTATAGGGATTAGTTTGTGTATTGGAAGTAATGAATTTTTAAAATCCTTTTAAAAACGTACAAGTCGTCAAAGAATGTCTTGGTACTGAACATTGAATGCTTGTATTTAATTAATTTTCAGAATCAGTGTAAAGAATGAATTTTTGGATGAAAAAGAAGATGCTTGTTGCTCTTTGGGAGAACTGGCTGGAAACACAGGGTAGGTCAACAAGGAGTTCTTGTTTAATGTCTGCACATTTAATGAATGTACACATCAACACTGAGCAAAAAATAGTTTAAAGCCCATTAGGATCTAGCAACTTGAACTTTTCTAGATAAAATTTGGAACTTTGTTATGTCTAATGCAACAATTTCTCATATAATGTTTATTCTCTCTGAATATTAGCAAGTATTATGTGTACTTTTGAATAATCAGCATGCAAATCAATGAGTTACATACACTGTATAAATGTCTAGTACTGGAGGCAACCATTGCAAGTTTTATTTAAATATAACTTGATTTACAAAAACTGATTCACACTATTTATTAGACTCATTATTTGGATATTTAACAAGCTAATTGATTAGCCTAATAAAACTAGACTTTGACTTCAGTCCATATTCTTAATTTAAAGATTGATTCAGCAATATTTTAATGCCCTTTTTTGTGCAACAGGGCAGCATTCTTTCCATTCTTGGAGCAATCATTCAAGGAAGTGTTGGAGATGATTGACTACCCAGCTCCCGGGGTGAAGAAAGCGGCCATTGCTGCTGTGGGACAGATGTGTATATGTGTACACCAGGCCAACCAGGAACTGCAGTCCCCGGAGACTCAGACTGCCCTGACTAACATGTTGTCAGCCGTGGTCCTGAAGCTGCTGGCAGTGATGGGAGAGGACATAGACAGTATGGTAGTCATGTCAGCCATCGACACGCTGTATGAAATGTTGGACAAGATTGGACAGCCTGTCATACAGGTTCAGGGAGTCTCTGATGCGATACTCACCCGCATGAAGGAAGTTTTCACTCACAAGGTACTTTTAAAAAAAAAAAAAAGAAGATTAGGGGTAGAAAAATTATTGTGCAACTTTAGAGTCATTTTTATTTCATCAATTTCAAATTTAGTATTAGTCATTTTTATTTCATCAATTTCAAATTTACAGTAATTGTTTTTGTTCAGTTGTCAAAAATTCTTTTTTTTTTTGATTCAGTTGTCAATACTTTTGTTTCGTTGTCAATTCATTTATCATAGATGTTGATTCAGTAGAGTTTGTTGTTTCAGTTGTTGTTTTTCCTGTTTTTGTTGTTGTCCTATATTGTCATTGATTCAGTTGTTGTTTTTCCTGTTTTTGTTGTTGTCCTATTTTGTCATTGATTCAGTTGTTTTTCCTGTTTTGATGTTAATTCATTAATCCTGTTTTGTCGTTGATTCAGTTGGCCTGTCAGGATCAGGACACAGAAGAAGATGATGAGGAAGCAGAATTTGATGGAATGTTAATTGAGTCAGCCGGAGATGTTTTACCTGCAATGGCTAAACTGTTAGGTGGACCAGTCTTTATGCCTTTCTTCAGCAGTTTCCTAACAGATCTTCAAAAACGACTGGTAACAGTTAGATTTTATTGCTGGATTTCAATAAAAAATGACAATTTTTTGTGTCTTTTCAATCCATTTATTTGTCATTCTGTCTCAGTGTAAAACTTCAGTGTAATACTTAGTTTCAGGATAATGTTTGAAAAAGTCATTCAACCTTTGCAATGAAATTGTATATTTGATTTTTAAGCATCAATTACAAGAAGCTTTTTTGCATGGCTTTTGACAACATTGTCTTTCCACATTGCAGAAAGAAACAAGTTCAGTAGCAGAAAGGTCATTTTCAATAGGAACCATTGCTGAAATAATCCAAGCCTCGGGCAGTGCTGTTGTACCATTCCTACAGAAGTTGTATCCATTGTTTGTCAAGTTTGTTAAGGACCCTGATGAGGAAGTCTGTAGCAATGCAGTGTTTGGAATGGGATGTTTGTGTTCTAGCTGTGGAGACCACTTAACTGGGTAAGTGACAATTAGAGGTAAGCATATAATGATAAGTAGAGTTAGGTGTCTTAAACTATACCTTAGCCAGTATTGGGATTGGGATTAACACTAGAAGTTCAGAGATACTGATGACAAAATCTGTTTTAGCCATTATGCAGAAATTCTGAAGACTCTGCTGGAGATCCTGAACAAAACCTCAAATGTTCGTATCCATGACAATGTGTGTGCTGCCACCTGCAGAATGATCATGACCAGTCAGAAATCCTTACCACTCGAACAAGTAAGAGAAATTCCTTCTTGGGAATAAAAACGTCATTTTTGAAACTTAATTTACCCATTGATAATTCATTGAATATGCTGTCTACTTTCATACGCAAGTGGTTGATCTACAAATTTAGTGCTTCCTTCAGAAGTTTTCCTTGTTAGTTGTGTCTGGAGAACTGGGAGAACTGATGAAAGTTTTTTGTACAACCTCTAAAAATGTGTAATTAGCTGGTTTCACTTTAGGTACTCCCAGTCGTACTTCAGTGCTTGCCATTGAAGGAAGATTTTGAGGAAAACAAGACTGTGTTTGAATGCTTATTTCAACTGTATGGCAATGGTGAACAGGAGGTACAGTACATGTATTACTGTTAGATATTATAGAAATATGAAGTACAATTTAAAAAAAAAACTTAAATATGTATACTGCCAACAAAGAGCTTTAGTAATATCCATGTACACATGCATTTTTATACGCCCGTCTTAAGACGGGACGTATTATGTTATAGGCTTCATGTCCGTCCGTCTGTCCACTCGTGTCCGGCTCATAACTTCAATACTAATAGGCCTAGGACTATCAAACTTTGTCAACTGGTACTTCTTGTGTAGACGGTGTGTCGCGCACAAAAAGTAGGTCATTCTGACCTTTAATAAAGATGCTATGGCCAAATAAGGAAAAATCCTGTCCGGCTCATAACTAGAAAACTATTAGACCTAGAGCTATCAAACTTGGCAAAAATATACATCTTAGGTAGAAGGTGTGTCGCGGCCTATTTCAAGGTCACTTTTACTTTTAATTCAAGTGAAATTTTTAAAAAACTAATTCTTTTAAATTTTCAATTTCATAATCCTAAAAAATGTAAAATTATAGCTGTATCCTTGTTAAAAAATGTGAAATCAAGTAAAAAACTTATTTTTTCATCATATACTTTACAGCAATCTGTAAGAAA